CTCTCTCTCTCTCTCTCACACACACACACACACACACACACACAGAGGGTAGGGGGTATCTTTTCACCATATGGGGCTTGGCTTCGAGATCCTTGAAGTCTGCCTCCTTTACCCCAGACATGGTTTGGTAATAGTCGAGGTTCTGCCGCATCTCCATGTGTTCAGGATTGCCCACAAAGAAGGTGTGCGCTGCTGCCACAGCTTTCTCTAGCTTGTTTATCTGTGGGTGAAGTAAAAGAATGAGTTCCCATTCAAACTCTGTGAGACCTTGATTGTTTGCTTGGTTGCTTTCTCTGTGTGTCTGTGTGTCTACTGACAGGGGTATTGCTATATAGGTCAGTTTCAAACTCTCAGTCCTCCTGACTCAGATCCCAAGTACTGGAATGATAGGTGAAACTGTGTTTCCAAACAAACAAACAAAGTGAAATGTAGTGATTGGAGAATCTAAAGGTGCAATGACTTGGGGATAGGACAGAAAGGGCAGTTAACAATTACACCGTGATAAGATCCAAGGGATCAGAGGACTGTGCCTAGCTTTCTCTCCCCAGTCTTTCAGGACTGTTCCTGCCTTCCTTTGTTATCCATCTCACCTATGAGCCCTTTTACCTCTAGGCACTGGCACCTGGCTTCTTGTGGTTGACTAAGGCACAGGCCTCTCTCTCCCCTGTTTTCACTGCCACCACTTTCTCCTTTCACCTATTTTATCCATCTGGCTTCCAAAATAAGCCTTCTGAAAGCTAAGTCTGATGATGGTTGCCCGAAGTTTGCACAAGTTTCTTCTGAATCTAGCCTCCCTAAACTTTGTAGTCATTTCTGCTGCTCTCCACATACATCCCTACACAGGACTCCTTGCAATGAACTACCCCATGGCCCAAAATATATTATGCTCTAGCTCTACTTTCTCCTTGCTGGGGAAAAACCTTTCTTCAAACCTTTCACCTCTTCTGTCAGGCCTAATTCAACTGGAGAAAAGCTAGAGTCATCCCCCCGCCCGTTGTGCTCCCACAACCCCAAACATCTACATAAGCATTTTAGTTAGCTCTTAGTACAGTGACACACCGTAAAACAAAAAGTCAATCGATTATTTTAATCACTTGCCCAAGAACTGGAATGTAGTAGGTGTTCAATAATTGCCAATGTCAATGAATTTTAAATAGTGCTGTTAAGTGACATGACCTGAGTGAGAACCCAATCATTTGGGGCTTGTAAGTCCAGCTCTCATCCCAATAACCAGACGGAATAGAGGGAATAAGCAGAAATCTAAGGTCCCCAAGAGCCTTTAAGTCTCTTTTAGGTAGAATTGAAGGTCTGCCAAACGATTGTAGATACACAGTCTGCGTGCGAGCCTCCCCCACCCCCGCTCCCAAGAGATTAATAGCATCTATTCAAAGGATTCTGTTTCAAGGCAAATCAGTTTTAAAAAAAACGCAAAGTGCTTTTGAGTCCTGGAAATACATGCTGCCAGTCACCTGGTGCTCCAAGCCTGTTAGTTGACTTTGCCTTAAAGCGCTGTGGCATCCCTAAAGACAATCATTTTCTTTAAAAACAAAAAACAAACGACAACAACAAAACCAAAAACTGACATACTAGCCAGTGGGTCCTCCACAGGAGGAGCGAGGCAGCCCCTGCTGGCGACGTGGCAATCCCACGTCCTGAAAGCGCTACTCTTGGATTCGGGAGCAGGAAAAGCATGATTGGAGAACCAACCGGAAGGAAGATGCTGCAGAAGTGCCTGCCTAGCTTCTCACTTGGATACTTGCAATGAAGTAGGGCTAGGAGACCCAAACCGATGCCTCGGTTCCCTCTAGGAAGCCTTTCCAGAAGGAAAGGTCAGATTCTTCTCGGCTTGGCCTGTCACTACTGGCTGGACCTTTAGGGTTAGCATCTGCCCATAAGAACCGGATGAAGCGCCCCGAGTCCGCCAAGAGTTCCCTAGCCAAGAGGCCCCTTTCCTCCCTGCAGACTGGTCCCTGCTCTGCTCCCCGAGTTCCTCAGGTCGCCTCGGGCCGCCGGGCTCCGGGCCAGTCGCACCTTGAAGTAGGCGACTTGCAGGTAGTTGTAGGGACTCCTCTTGTTGAACTCCAGGTCCAGCTCTTCGCTCAGCAAGTGGGCAGCGGGCGGCCCGAGGCAGCGGCGCAGGCAGGCGGCACGGCGCAGCAGGGCCCCAAAGAAGCGCAGGTCGTTCAGGGCGGCAGCGCCCAGGTCCTGGCTTAGGTTGGGGGCCGGGCCGAGATCGAGGTCAGGAGCCCACGGGAGCTCGGCCGCGCAGCGTGTGCGGCAGCG